GCTCTGTGGTACAGAGTCCTGATCACTCCTAACTTGTGTTCCAGTGGGTGGTGGGAGTCAAAACGCAAATATTGGTCTGTGTGGGTGGGCTTACGATACTTTCTGTAAGTAAGATGCTGAAACTCTRATATTTGTCAGTATGTGAAAGTTTGGCTCAAGAATCAGGGCATGAATGGGACTTGGACTGATTGAAAGGTAAACGAGTGTTGTTGTTCATTGAACCCTCCTGCTGTACTTGGTGAGCGTAGGACAAAATGAAATAAATKAAATTGAACTCTGGCACTTCTAGGGTTGACATGGTTCCCACATAAATGCAAAGAAGTGAGAATTAAAGGTGTCAGTTTGTTTAGTCATAAATTTTACACTGATCCATGAAGAAGGTCACAAAAAAGTACTTTTATGCAGCCTCATCTTTGCATAAAGCTGGTGCTTATTCCAGCAGGTGAAAAACAAGTTTCCAATCAGAGCAAAGACAAACAAGTGAAGCACAAATTAACCCAACATTAATGTGTCTGACCTGTGGGAGGAAACCAGAAAACTCCAGCTTAAACCATTACTCTCTAAAAGCAGTTCTGACCACAAAATCCAGCCTCAACAGCAAAGTGAAGTTAATGCAGTCGACCAGACCAGAGAAGTTCAGTTTTTACAAATAAATATTTGATCAGTTCAGTGGGCTGGGGAATATTTATGCTGCTTCTTTTCAGCTATACCTTTTAACAATCACAACAATTTCTTAGAGTCAGGAGTTGGATGTKTTGAACCAACACTTTAATCAGACATTTAACAAATAGAAATCATTTTCAAAATCTAAAACTGGACAGGTTTAGTTTTTAATATTAATCATTAAGAAAGAAAATATTTTTAATATAGTTTATGTAAACATCTGCTTTCAACTCTGTGTTCACTCCCAAGAGTTATAAAAGAGCGTGCACAATCAATAATCTGTTATCTCCCTTTTGAAAATGGACAGTTAAGAGTGTTTCTGAGAGCATCAGCCATCTGATTTCTGGAACGTAAATTTATGATGTACGAACTTTTGTTGCTTTGCTAAAAATGTGAATGCAGTACACGAGAGTGTGAATTACTGCACCTATCAATGGATTAAGCAGCCTGAAGGCCAAAGTGCAATATTTCCTTGCAGACGTAAAAAAAAAGTGCTTCCAGCTCCTGCAGCTGTGACATCTGCAGCCTCAGCACCTGCATCCGCAGCATCAACAACAGACCTGCAGACCTGATGTGCATCAAAGGTCACAGCAGCGACTGCACCTGCACATAGAACCACAGGTTCTACATGACAGCCAGCTAATGTCAGATGAGAGGAAATTACATCACTGAAAACCACAAACAAATTTACCACAGCCATGCAATCTGGTGGAAAGTTTAGAAGTCAAACCTAAATGTGCAACAAGAACTTTTAGATGTCGTCAACAACTCAACCTTAAAACCCCCACCCACATCTGTCAGGTTTTTAACATATAATTTTTATCCATGCAAGTCTTTTTAACTAGGGTTAAGTAAGGCATAAACATAAGCTTAGTGAATGATTAATGATAAAATTATAATCATTTTAGGAATCATGGAGTTTATTCCTTGAACAGTCTGGATGCACGAGTTTTTCTCTGTGCACTGCTTGAAACTGTAAGAGTGCCCCCCCCCCACACACACACACACACACATTATTACTTATTATTGTTATTATAAATTCATAAATTCAGACACATAGCAACTACTCATCATATAGGAACTTTGATCAGGCTCCCTCTGCGTATTGAGTACCGCCCTCTCATCAAAAACTGCGGAGGAGGAGCCTGTTCTGATGTTTTTGAAAAACTTATAAACTGTGCTACACTAACCTTAACCCTAAATATCCAACCCCTGACCTATTTACCTAAACTTAACCACATACCYTAAACCTAAGAACTAATGCATTTTGTAATGATGATGAGTGATGAGTGAATGAGAGGAGGGTACCCAACACATCAATAAGTGATGCAGAGATAGCCTGACGAAGTGTTTCTCTGGGTTATGAGTGTTTATGTTTGCAATTGGCCTTCATCAAAATTACATTTAAAAAAATCACAAGACTTTTCAAACAATATCCTTTGGATGGAAAAAAAACAGAGTGGAGATGTTTGGTCAAACTGTTGGGAGAAAAGGATCTATGTTTTTATCCATGTGTTTCTGCTCAGGATCAGGAGCTGGATCAGATGTCTCCAACATTCATTGAACAAGAAGTGGGCTACGCCCTGGATGGGTTGCCAGGTCCTCGTAGAGATGAGCAAGCATTCACACGCACTCTTAACGATAATAGAGTCACAACCTGACGTGTTTCTGATTGCACCCAGAGAAAACCCGTACAGGCACAGAGAAAATCCCAGCCAAGAATCTGCAAACCTTTTTTTGCTGCAAGGCAACATTGCCTCCTGCTTCACAAACAACACATCTGCAAGAAAAAAAACTCATTAACTGTCCAGCATGTTGTAGAATTATAGATTTGGGTTGTTTTGAAGCCAGATGATCTGAGAGATTCTGCTCAACTCAAAGGATTCTTGGGTCAAACGTGAGACTTTCAGTCCAGTCAATGCCTGTCATTTCTCCTGTTGTTCTCATGTGCATCATAACAAAACGTGAACAAATTCAGCACAATACTTAAGTAAAAGAAATCCAGTTCATTTAAAAAAAAAACAATAACTTTACATGGTCCTCAGAGAGCCAGGTCACATAAAACTAGCCTGTCAATTATGTATCCATCACATGGTTGATCATCAACAATTAGAAAACGCTGATGTGAAATTTCATGATAGATGTTGTGAGAACTTGAAACCCAACCCCAATTGTTTTACAAAAGAGGATTAGGACCACAGAGCAAAAAATAAATAAATAAATAAAATATTTCTGAAACTTCTCAGTATCAGTTATAGTCCTAACTAATTGATGCAGTAGTAATAACCTTTACAAACGAAGTTTTAGCTGAGTCCTCTCTCACAAGTCTTTGTGTGGTTTGCGTTTGCGCTGTGCGCGCTCCCGCGGCGCGCGGCAGCTCTCCACAGACGCACCGAGCTGGAAGCAGAAGCTGCCGCCGCGGGAGAGGAGCGTCAASATGACCACGTTAGCGAAGGGAAGGCGAGGTGTTGAAAAAACGTCTAAAACTTGTGCGGCAACTTTCTGGAAAGTCTTTCCTCACCTGACGCTGTGCGGCACCCTGGTCCTGTACGCCACGCTGGGCGCGCTCATCTTCCAGCTGATTGAAGGACGCAGCGCATCCAGCCATGAAGAAGAATACAACACTTTCCTGGAGAGGGTGGTCGAGGAGGTCCAGAGGGACACCAGTAAGTCCCAGCAATCAGCTGATTCTGCAGCTTCTGTGTGAGAGAATGAAGAAAAAAAGTGTTTTTGTTGGTAATCTAATTTGACCCAATTTTATAAAATTTCACTTTTGCTGTGCAAAATTATGAGCAAAGTTACTTACAGCATTTAACAACTAATCAATCAGAAAACAGAGTGTAAAATGACAATTTAAGAGAGGCTGAATCTCTCAGCAGTAAATGGGCAGATGTTCTCTAACAGCACAACTTTATGTTCTTCAATAGAAAACATGAATGTCCCATCAGCTCATATTATCAAAAATTTATTGAGAATCTGGAAAATAACCTCTGTGCTCAAAAGAAAAGTAATTCTCAGCTTTTATTTTATTTTGTTTTTTTGTATACTTGAAGATACTGGCTGCAACACAACAACAATAGTGGAAAATGTGAAGGGAAGGATGGAAAATTTCTCCTTAGTGTGGCTCCAGAGTCCCAGCAGATGGACCTTTGCTGAATCCTTGTTCTTCTGCTGCACAGTTTTCACCACAGTTGGTAAGTCAACGTATAAACACCAGGTTCATTATAACTAGGAAGTACTGTTACTTCGTTACAGTACTTGTGCATTTTTTTCAGGATCTGTAATTTCACAAAGTAGTTTTAATCATAACTTCAACTTTTATTTTGTTACATTCAAAACATGAAAATGATGCTACTTTACTTGAAAATTTAACACCTCATTACATGGCACAAATTTAAATATGACCAGAGCTCATCATGAAGTGAGTTGTTTCTGCACTTTAAAAAAATGAAGTGTTTAATTTATTTAAACAAGTTATGTCAACTGGTTCCACTAAACTGAGTTGAGTAAATGTGAAACTGTTTACTCAATTGGTTTGGTGGAACCAGTTTGGTTCAGTAAATTCAACACTTCATTTCTTAGTGTGTGTAAAAGTACTTTTACTTTCCCGATTATTGTGAGCAATTTTACGACATTTACTTTACTTTTTACTAAGTCACTTTTTTATCAGTGACTTTTAGAAGTCATTTTTACTTTTACTTAGTTATTTCTTTTAAGTACTTTATATACCTCTGATAAACATGTGTACACACAAATGATTTGAATGGGGGGGGGGGCTTGCTGCTGAATTATTTAAATGAAAGATTAACAGTTCATTGACCAAGGTGCCGTTCTGTATCCATTTCTGCAACAATAATGACTTTTTTATGTCGAGTTGTCCTGACTTAAGCCATTTTGTACCCGTTTAGCTGAGATTTACTGAAAAAAAAATTTTACATTCATTTTTTGAGACTTTCTCGTAATGAATTTTCACAACTGCAAAACTGCACCACACCCCTAACAAACCAACAGAAGATCATGACACCAGAGAGCAGAAGATTCGGAATGTGAGCGGCTGCTTTGTTTGATTTGGAGACATCAGGATCTCTGATGACTGTTTATGTGATGGAATCAATACCACACACATTTAGCTGTATATAACAGCAGCGAAGGAGTTATGAGGCTAATAGCCGAAGCAGGAACTGGTACGCGGTTCTTTCTCTAATGGACTTAATGGTCAGAAGAAGTTGAACTGACAGGAAGCATAATAAGTACAGCCATACAAGCTGACTCCTCTCTGTTCATTTAGTTTGGACGTTCACGTTTCATTGGCATTTAGGAAATCATCAATAACACCAAATTCTGGCAAAGTCAGGATGTGGTGTCAAAATGTGAAGCAAAAACACACTGCACTGATTCACACCCGATTTTGAAGAAATGTAAGAAATTGTGTGGTGTTTTGAACATGGCAGCATCATGTCACGTTCTCGGTTCTCCAAGGACAAGCCGAGCTGCAGGGCAAAACAAATTAAACTTCTGAAAATATATATTCTTTAAATATGTACTTTTAACATTCTTTTTAATTATTTGCCTTATTTTTAGYCTTTTCTGAATATCTGAAAGGCCTTGAATGTTGTCTAATATAGAAACTAGTTGTCTAATATGGTGTTTAAAACATTCTGGAAGTAAATATGTGGGAAAGAAAAGTGGGAGACGGTTTATGTAAACAAAAACAAGAGTCTAGAAATTCTCCAGTAGTGTCATATTCAGTAATCCAGAACCTGTTTGAACTTTTTTCTCTAGTCATTTTCTAACAGAGGGTGGAAGCTAAATTGAATCATTAAGCTGTGCAAAATGAATAAAATAAGAAACTTCGATAGCACTCTTAAAGGAGTTGTTTTTGTCAGAGCATTTAGTTTTTATTCATATTTGTAACAGTTGAACATTTTATTGTAAGTGTGAAGTTCATGAGTCTTTAGGCTTGACACTTTGCAGGCAAGTTGGTTTAAATTCAATTTGTTGTTGTTGTTTTAATGTTTTTGAGAGCTGTAGTATTTTTCCTGCATCTTGATCCAAAACTACATTTCTTTGAAGATTTTTTTTCTTCTTGCGATTCTATGTGTAATAACCTAGTAAAGATGTTAAGTCTGTTGCATTAAGATTCTTGATAAGTGCTGAAAGGATGTCAGCTAATGGCTAATGGCAACAGGAAGCCTTTAYTCCTCATAGAACAAAGTATTTTCATAGAAGAATGTTTTACATCTCTGCAAAAAGCTTCTGAAAGATTCAGTGGTCATCACTGAAGCGGTCCTTTCAATTGGAGTCATTTATCTCTCTAAAGCTAAAATATTAACAGTTTATTGATCCTTTCTATATATCCATTTACATTTTCATTTAGTTGTTTTCCCACAACTTTTAAATTAACAAAATATGTAAAGGTTCAAAGGTATCTTGAGCTACAGTGCCTATAATAAATATTTACCCTTTGGATGTTTTATCTTTTTTAAAATTTATTTATTTATTTTGCTAGTAATATTCAATCATGGTTGCTATAAATTTGTCTTTTTGACATAAAAATATCAAAATACCTTCTGTAATGCAAAAGTAAAATAAGGCCAATCAAATGAAATTATGTAATGTTTGCCCCTTACATTGGTGAAGAACTGGGACAACAGTCTCATATCACCTGCTGAAAGCTTGTCCACCCGACTTAATTTTTTCAATTATGTTTTCTCTGAGTTGAATGAGGACAGTCACCTATGTATCATCAAGAAACATCAAGAAAATTATGGAGATACAGTAGAGTAATGCTGTCTGCAAAAAATATTGCTTTGTAGATTTATTTTCAAGCAAGACAATCACACAAAGTATACAGCAAAAACTGCACAGAAATGGTTTAAGGGCAATGGGGGAACATTCAGGATTCAAAGCCAAGACCCACAATAGAATAGAATAGTCTTTATTGTCATTGCACAAGTCTGTACAATGAAATTGAACWGACAGCATCATATACAGTATAAATACTTAAGAGGTAGGATATACCAAGATTTTGTGACAAATCCCATAATACAGTCATTATTATGCTTAGGATGTTTGGCTGTGTTCAGGGTCAGGTTGGCCCATGGGAAAAAATTGTTTTCGAGTCTGTTGGTGCAGCTCTAAATGCTCCTGTACCTTCTGATAGACGGCAGCAGGATGGGCAGGTGGTGACCAGGATGAAGGTCTTTGCAGATCCCCTTTACCCAGTGGCTGCTGGCAGCGAAGGAGCAGAGAGGACAACCAGTTACTTCCTGCAGCCTCTTCTTGTCAGCAGTGGTGGAGCCAGCATACCACACAGTGATGTTTTAGCATGCTTCCTATGGTGGAGCGATAGAAGGATACCAACAGCTTAGTCTCCAAGTTGTTCCATCTCAGAAAGTGGAGTTGCTGCTGGGCCTTCTTAAACATCTCTGTGGTTTTGGGAGGTTTGCTTAGACACGGGTCACCAAGAGGGGAATTATTGCTCAAGACCACTGTAAAAAGTGAGGGGTATTGCCGACTTGTATACCTTATGGCTTGTTTTGTGCATTTCATATTGCATGTCATATTGTCGACACAGTGGCTTGTACAGCCACTTGGTGCGAATTTGGGACTTTTGGTATGCACTCTGTAGTCCACTTTCAGCCATTAGGTCTACTCTTGTGATGACATGAGTTGACCAATAGATAGCGGTCTTGTTCCAGTCGACCCCCTAAATCCCAACCCCTAACTTTGACCTCTGCCATTATGCATGCATTAAARCTATTTTGCATGTACATATTGACACCTAACACCATCACCAACATCATATTATAGATGTGTAGTTAGACATATACAGTACCAGTTTCAGGACTATTAGTTACATCTTTTTCAGTGTCTTAATGTGTCTTGTCTCTCCGTTGTTTCAGGGTATGGAGAGATCTATCCAGTTACTCTGACTGGTAAGGTGGTCTGTGTCATCTACGCCTCGGTGGGGATTCCTCTCATGCTTCTTGTCATTCTTGATGTGGGGGATTTTCTTGCTTTGGTGATGTCCAGGGCCTACAGCAAATTCCACAAACTCTGTAAAGCTTTCCGCTCCTACACCTGGCCACCACGGAAGTCTTGGAAGAGAGAGGCGGATTCAGACTTCCAGAACCTGGAGGGCGACGGATTTGCTTTGGGCCAGGACATCGTCATCTGTAAACCCCTCGACATCCGGCAAGTGATGCACAGCCAGGCTGACGTTCGAAACAAGTCCATCCGTCTTCAAAAGAACAAAGGCATATTTGAAAAGATTATTGCAAGGGAAGATTTAGTGAGGAAAAGCCCACTGCTCCGGTCCATCTCCTGTCCAGAACTAGAACGTCCATATAAATTTCCCATATGGGACTTTTCAGGATTAGGTGATGGAATGGAAACGTTGGATGTTCCCTTTCTACTGATTCTTTTTGTTGTAACTTTATACATTTGCTTAGGTGCAAATGTCTTGACAATGTGGGAAAAGAGTTTCCTTGGATTTGATTCATACTACTTTTGCTTCATCACACTGACTACCATTGGGTTTGGCGACATTATACCCAAACATCGAGAATACTTTATGCTTATTTCCCTTTTTATTATTATTGGCATGGCCATCATGTCCATGGCTTTCAAGCTCAGCCAAACAAGAATTGTAAGCGTTTACCGTAAGTGCATCCARTTTATAAGCAGAGGAAATGCTGAGAAGTTTGATACAGAAAAGAACAATTAGGTGGTTTTATAATTTTCTGCATCACGTGAAGAGTCGGAACAGAAACCTGTAGAAGACTGATTAAATGTAAYCTTTAAATTCAGGAGGTAAAAGCAAGAGTATAATAATAATTTTCTGAGAGAATCTTTTGCCCAGTAGAGCACTATTTCACAGCTAAAATCCTCTCAGCGTGCCGCGCTACACAGAAAAACGTAAACCAGTTCAGTTGAAGCCCAGTTTTATGTGGTCTAATTCAATTCAGTTCAATTAGTCATATTACAATTCATATATTTACAGTAAAAAATAAATCCAGATGAAATCACACAGGATGGGCTGTGGTGTTTGCGGACAACATTTTGACCTATAATGAGAGTAGGAGGCAGGTGGAAGAGAGAACAAAGAGGTGGATGTGTGCTCTGAAGAGAAGAAGAAGGAAACTCAAACAGACGAGGGCTGAAACTTTTCCTTGAATAATAAGAGTAATTCGATTACTAAAAATCCAAGAGGCAAATTATCTGCCTCGAAGCTTCATAAAATAGAAAATATAATGTTGTAATCAGTGCACTTTTGTCTGACCAGAATGTTAGCGCTTCCGCTACAGTTGGTGCTGCTGTTGAAGCATGAATACTAAGTGCTATATTTAGCTGCAGAAGGAGACGAAGAGTCCCAAAATGAAGCGTTCAGAAAACGACAGAAACTGTAAAAAGCATGGGAATATTTTAAGCTAAACAGAAAAGACTACCACGCGCTGCACGCCCTCTATGTTTCTGCAATGGAACAAAAACAGCTGATGCATGTACCGAATGCATTCCGAGTTAACAACAGGTTGTTTACATTCCCTTTGTAAAATACGTTTATCTGAAACAGTGATAATCTGTTACAGATGTAAAAGCAGGTATATTCTCTAATATTACATGTACTGACTAATCAYAGCAGCTACCTGGCAGAGTATTATTTCACAGTGTGTTTATCACACAGTTGTGTGATGAAAACAAGACTTACTGTACGTGTGTCAAATATACATAAAATTACAGCAACATAGATATGAAATATGGAGAGCTGTTTCATTCAAAATGAAATAAATAAACAAATAAATATGGTATTTTTATTTTATACCAATGCATGCCAATGTATGGGGAGCCGTTT